AAAGAACCAGGTACCCAGTTGACATGGTACCCGTACATGTCACGGGCCACATGCTGGTACAACTGCCCTTCTTGAATCACATGCGCCGCAATGTTACTGGCTGCGACGACATCCTTCCGCATTGCTGTATGGTCCCATACGTCCATACAGATGTCATCAAATGTGGCTTCTTTCCCCATAACGTGGACGTATGTAATGCACTTCTCACCAGTAAACACCTTCGCTTCAGCGAGGGCCAACTCGACAGGATTGCCAAGTGACGGGTCAGAAATGCGTGCATCGCGTGGCCTGCATCTCATCGCTTCCTTTTCCTCTGCAGCTGCTTCTCTGTCGAAATGACGGAACGAAAACATGCCATTCACGTAATGCGCGCTCCACACATTGCCCATGATATCACGCTCTTGCATCTTGACACGGCCATATCCAAATGGGACTGCAGATGGCACCCAACCCCATCGAGGATCCCTCCTTGCATCATCCTGGGCGACTGGAGTCCTTCTCCTGCCTTGCTCGCCACCCAACTCCCACAGCCGACCGCAGTCAACGTTATCATATAGGAAATCATTGAGGCGCAACTCACCCTTTACCTCTAGAACACGATACATGTCCAATGCGTGTCCGCAAGCATCTTGGGTCGTTGCCCCGTCATTTAACCTCAACACTCTGTCATAGATAAATGACAGACATACGTTACACCATGTTTCATTCATTGGGGGAGGAAAAGCAACCCACTCATCACCAACCTTGAAAGCAAAGCAATCCACACMTCCAACGATACCAGGCTGAACACGACCAGRCACCCAGTTCACATCGTACGGGTATCTATCTCCTGCCATTGTCTTTGTCACATTTGCATCTTTGACAATGCATCCACTGTGAGGACCCTCGCTGCCAACATCTTCGTCCTCTCTCTCTGCACCCACCTTCTCTGTGTGACCACTGTTCCGYCGTGCACCGCTTTCGTTGTCATCCACATTAGCCAGCATCTGATCAGTTTCCATTTGAATAGTGGCCAACACRTCATCACATGCTGCAGTGGTGCCCCCGCCGCTGGTGTGCTGATGAACTGTCGTTCCGTTGT